TAATTGCCTGTCAGAGTGGCTTATTAAAGGGGAACTACAATTTTACAAGACAATTCTTGTATCTGCTTGTCTGATCTAAAGACAGAGAGCTATATAAATACAAAGAGTTCAGGGAGGAAATATTTCTCACTCCCCCTGTCGAATTAAAAGTTGGGTTTTTAAGGCACTAAAAGAACAGTCAGAATGTGACAGTTTTGATACACAACCGAGCACAGCTTTTGAAATTGGGAAGTGAATCCTTTGTGTTTAAGGCAGCAGGCAGGGAGATGAGGGGATGGAAGGGTGGCTATGGAAACCACTCTCCCTTATGTAAGGAAAGGCACCTGGTGATGTAATCCATGGAATGTCCTTGGAAACCTCACAGCAGCTGGACCTGGTGGGTGAGTGTGATCCAAGATCTCCCCTGGAGCAGGGGTGGGATCACCAGCAGGCACTTACTGGGATCACTGGAGTCTTGCAAAATGACATTTACCCTCCAAATGCTTCAGAGGGTTTGGCAACCTCCAACAAGGCCCTCGTGTCCCACTCAGGCCCATCTTTCCAGGGCAGGGGGAGGGATCTCAACACCCCTTGTGTCCGTGGGAGGCAGGAAGCTCCATATCCTGGAAGGACTAATTCTGCTTTATTCTCCTAATTAACCAGTTTCACTTCCTCCTCCTCTCAGACTGAGGCAGAAGTTCTCAGAGAGCAGGCAGGCTAAAGTTACGGAGAATTAAATTTGAAAAATCTTCCCCTCCAGTGCTATTTTAAGGAGAATGAATTCGTAAAAGCCCAACAACCCAAAGCAAATACAGGTGTCACAAATGAACCCACGGCCTTGGGTGATAATCCAGCTTCATGCCTCTATTTCTGCTTTTAAAAACCATCTTAGCATTCTTTATTTTACGCCTTTGAGGCGATTGGGGCGCACACCTCGAAAGTGGGAGACAATAATGCTTCATTAATATGGTGCCCTAAAAAATAAATGAAAATCTACCGTTCTGTGCCTCAGGAACAGCACCTGCAGCGCTGTTGAAGCCAATAATTTTTTTGTCAGGCTTGCTTTAACGCTCGTGATTGAGAGATCTGAAGTCTCAAACCTGTTCACTAAACAGATAAAACCAACCAAAATCCACGTGAGCCTTCCCACTGATTTCAGGGAGCCTGGACCAAGGCCAGGGTCGAGGGGACAGCGGCAGCAGCTTTGAAAATGCTGCCCAAAAATATCTTGCCCTTTGTTCCAACAAGCACTGCTGAGACTTTAAGCCATGCCATGGTCTCTCTGCCTGGGTGCTGAGGCTGTCACAGCAGTGCTGGGTTTGATAACAGTCCTAATTTGGCTTTTCCACCAGGAAATACACCCAGTCAATTTAGATATATATAGTAATTCAGCATAAAAATCATCAGAAAGAAAGCTTCGCTGCTTTCCAAGTTATACACTTGATAATGTTTCACTTGAAAAACCTGTAACTTTTTTTTTATAACAAACTGAGAGAACTCACAGCTGAGGGGTCTCTCTGAGAACATTCAGACTCCGTGGCTTTAGGGTTTGTGTTAGGAAAAAATTATTATCAGCTCTGAACATTATAAAACTGACACGGTTTCCAGCAAAGGTTGTAAACAAATTATTAGGGCTCTTTGTTCCGAGAAATACATTAAAAACAGTCAAAGTGAAAAAAAAAAAATCATTTGGCCAGTGAGAAATCTGTCTAGACAAAGCTTCCATTATATGATTTAACAATCCCTGGCGAATGTTGCTTAAAGATAAAATTGGATTCCTGTCCAGAATATTAATACTTTTATTGCAGTTTACAGAAATATGTGTATTTTTCAGATAAAAGTACATATTCATATACAGACAGACGATGAACATTGAAAATGGACTGGAACGTGGTTTGTTTTATCAGTATTTCTCCCTCTGTCAAACAAATAAATCATTGTTTTTCAGGTGGAGGCTTCTGATGAGGAGGAAGATTTTCTCATTTTCAGACGAGGGCTTCTGTATTTCCATCTCCACCGCTGTCAGAGCACGTTGGTGAGGAGCTGCTGCGGGTGACACAAACAACTTATGATTGCAGAGCGAGGAACTGCTCTCACAAACTTCCAATTTCCAACCAGCTCCACAGAAATAGTTTGCAAGCTGAAGTTTGGGCCCAGCCAGAGCGAGCTCAGGAATACAGATCTGGGCTTTATTGTGTTTGACTCAGCTCAGTGCAGTGTCCTCAAGAAAATAAAGAAATAAGAAAAAAAGTGATGTTTTTCCGGCATGACAGGAGAGAATTTGGAGATGGTTTTTTTTTAAAGTCAGGCAGAAGGAAGGCACTGAGTGTTAGATCAGCTCCTGTCTTTTTTTTCCCAGGGGTAGCAACGCACCGTTTAACGTTTGGCAGCCAATTGCAGGGCAACTCCAAACCAGCTCCGTGCTCCAGGTGGAGAACTGAGCCTGAGCACCCACCTGAGCCTGGTGCAGAACACAGGCAGTGCCTGCCTTCACTTTTCCAGAATCCTGGATCTTACACGATGGGAAGAAAAATTCGTGTTGTTTCACAGAATCCCAGACTGGTTTGGGTTGGAAGGGACCTCAAAGCCCATCCAGTTCCACCCCCTGCCACGGGCAGGGACACCTTCCACCAGCCCAGGTTGCTCCAAGCCCTGTCCAGTCTGGCCTTGGACACTTCCAGGGATGGGGCAGCCACAGCTGCTCTGGGCAACCTGTGCCAGGGCATCACCACCCTCACAGGGAAGAATTTACAGAAGATCAGAGCAAGGGGTTGAGTTCTTGGCTGAGTTCTTTTTTGTCCCCAGGTGAATAAATAACACCTCATTTTGGAGAAGCTGCCTTGAGCTACTTTAATCATTTGTGAGTTAAAAGGTTCAGTGGAACTGTTCAGTTTTTTTTCCAAATGGAACTGGACCTGTCACGTCATCCCAGCTGGAAGGTGGGGAGCTGCCATCCCATCATCCACCCGGAGAGGGGCTGAACTGCAGACTCCATCCTAAAGCAGGGGCAGAGCAAAAGCTTTTGTTCTGTGGCACAGCCGAGACAGCCTTTGAAAAGGCTCTTCAGGAAACCAATTCTGCTCAGTAGGAAAGCCTGGCAGTAGAGTTGTCAAGAATTACATTTGGAAATCTCATTTTTGCAGGCATTCCAGCAGGCAGGGAGAGATAATGGGGACCACTTGCCCCCAGCCCATGACTATCAGTGCTGCGTGATTCCCCATGCAGGGTTTGCCAACTGCTTTAGATCAATCCTCTGTCAAAAACAATGTCAGCTTCTTACACTACATGCAGCCTCCTGGGCATCCTCCCATCCCTTCTGAACTTGAGTCTTGTAAGGGCCCAAATGGCTGTAAAATTTTGGTAGAAAGTCGATAGAATATTTTTATATTTTTTTTTTCTTTAAAAAATTAACGCTTTCACATAACAAGGGCCGTTTCTGGGACTTCAGCTCTGTTCTTTGTTCCCCACAAAAAAAAAAAAACATCTCCAAATTCTCTCCTGTCATGCTGGAAGCAGCTTCAAACACTTTGTATTTCAGTAACTAGTTTTTCAAACCTTCTCTCACAGGTGCTAGGACATGGTGTTCTTCCACTGTCATTTCTCGTTGTCACCTCGCATGGCTCATCAAGGGCCGAGGGGGAACATTGTCTGCAGGCCATGCAGGAAATGATAAAATCTAACCCTGCCCCAGCTAACCGTGTGGCTTTTGGCCTCAGGAAAATCACATAATCAAGAGGTGCCAGAAGTGCTCTGATATCCCGAGTTTCTCAATTTCTGAACGCCTGTCACATTTTTTTAAAAAGCTGGGCTTAGCCCAGCTGCTGTAAATGGAGACGGAGAAACCTTCCTGCCTGCAAGAGAGAGTTAATATTTGTTCAGTGCTTTCAAAATGTTAAGTGCTACCTAAGTGCTGAGCATTATTACCAGGAGTAATGTATGTTTTCATCTGGAGCTTGTACTCTTCTATCTAATCATTATCTGGCTTCTAATAAGCAACAACTTTATCAGAGTATAGTCCCAGAAAACATCTTGCTTGCTCTTCTTGGAAAATGTTCTTAATTTTTGTTAGGAGGCTCAAACACGTGTCAGGTTTTAAATCACAGATCTGTTGGGGTTGATGAAGTTAAACTTTATCAGCTTTCTGGGAATGATTCATCTCTAACTTGTTACATCCAGCATTTTCTTTTGCTGGTTACCTTTGAATTTGCCAAGCAGGATGTAAATTGAGTTCATCATCTCATTTTGAGAATAGATATCAAATATATGAAAAACAGATCAGTAAACACAAAACAGAAAAACCCCACAACCACGTAAACCTTCATACTGGAGGGTTTTTACAACTACTGCAAAGAGGAACAGGTTGTCACAAATCAACACTGAACTGTAAGCTAATTTTTGGTTTAGATTAATTTGTACTACCCTTTCCCTTACCTGCTTTGGGCCTGACTGTAAAATTTGTCAGGATATTCCTGAGCTCTTACTCAGGGGTATGAATTCATTGATCTTAACAAGGGTTAAAGCCCAGCTTGTGTAAGGAACTGATGAAAAATTAACTTTTTTGTGCTTTGCAGTTTATAATGGAACACCCAAGAGAGGGAGTGCCTCTTCCTCCTGTTAGTAAATGTTTCAGCTGGGAATGAAACAGTCCATACAGATTGGGTGAAATTTTGGGCTGCAGTGAGTGGGATAAACCTGCAATTGCCAAGATAATTTCAGCTGCCTCAGTCCTGCAGGAACAAACAACCTCCTCATAATGTGAGGGGGGGGTTATTTCACTGCTCAGGACCCTGCAGAGATGGATCTGCTGAGCAAGGCAACCCTTCTGTTCCCACTTAACTCGTTGTTTGCCAGTGCCCAAGATACACATCAAATAACCTGCTGCTCAAGGTGATGCCTGGGATGCTTTTGACAGGAGGGGATCTACTCCTCCTGTAAATGGTTATTCGTGCAGAGCACACAGTGATAATGACTGCCCCCCCAAAAAAAAAAAAATCTCACTGCACTTTTCCCTGGAGAATGTAAAATCTTCCCTTCTGCCAGGATCAGAAAACAGATTTTCCCCTTTTGTAGAAATGAAGCCACTTACATTTATTGTGGCACTGTAAAACTCTTTTTTATTATAGAGCCCAAGATGAAATACCAGGGTATAAACTGAGCTGTATCTATAATAATCACATCCTTCCCAAAACACATCGCTTTGGAAACTCTTGTGGATTTGTAAAGAGCACCTAGAGATGTTCACACATTTGCATTTAAACATCCAACCCACTGAAGGAAACTTGTTTATTAAATCACTTTCAGTATAGCACCGTCTGAAGGAACATAACTTAGGATAGAATCACTTTCTTTATGTACAGCCAAGCCCCATTTTTTAAGGCTGAAGCACAAACAGTTTAATAAAAAGATATTACTTAATAAATTAGCATCTTTAGCCCCTTTCTGAACTGAGTATCTTTACCTCCTCTCTGAAGGAATAATTAATCATCCTTTAAATTCCTGACAGCCCCATAATCTCTGGATATAAAAATTCAAATGCAAGAAGGAAGCAACTGCGGATTGAGTCAGCAGGATGGAAGGAGAGGTGCTCCCTTTAACCCATCTGAGAGATCCCAAAGCAGTGCAGTCAATGCAATCTATGGCACAATAGCTAAATAAATTCAAATGCTGCCTGGGAACACTTCTGCTGGTACAGGAAGTCCTGCACCTGTGCTGGTTATCACAAATGTCATTGCCCTCCTGGAAGAAAAGCTTAAGACATATCCATGGGTGATCAAAATGCTTCTCTAAAAGTGAAAGGAAGAGCAAAGGTTACTGAGCATCCCCAAAAACAGATGGGCAAGGCCTGGAAGGGCACAAAACTTCCCTCTAACCATTGTCAAACTTTGTCCAGGTTTATAAACGCCACACCTTGGCTGACTGTAGCCGACAGCAATGTCAAAGGAAATGCAGTCCTGGCTTCTCAATTCTCCCTGAGAATGGTCCAAATTCATCTGTAAGACGCCCCCAAAATCATACATTTATCAGGCATATGTAAACCCAAGGCTGAAGTCATTTTTGTTACACAAACTTATAAACTGAATTTTACTTCCATTCTGACTCAGAGCAGTATATTGTAAAAACAGAATATTTATTAACAGTGTCTCTCCATCAGGCACAAAACCCTCTTGCTTTGTGAATACCCAGACCTGGAACACAGGCAGTTTTCATCAGAGAAATGATCTAGAGAGCACAGAGGTCATTCACCCCAAATGGAAATTGTACAGCAAAACTAGATGATGAGCAGCTGCTTGGAAGCAATAACATCTTCAACACAATATATTTAATAGAAATAGAAAAGCCAAGCAGTTATTTATTACATTTTTTATAAGTTCTCCACATCTCCTGGGAGGAATATTTCCAAGAAGAATTTGCATTGTTCGTGCACAACAACTACTTATATGTTTTGACTGAAAATGTTGTATTTACTTACAAGGCCCGATGATGAAAAATATTATTATTACAAAAACCCTATGCTATTTAAGTGAGATGGAACAAACATTCCCCTTGTGTAATCATATGCAATAACTATAAAACTAATCTTGATCATATCTGTACGTTTATAGAGTATCTTTTATTTATTGCAAATCTGTCTCAGGCAGGGTAACAGTTCTGTTTCCATTCATCCTTTTTGAAAAGATACCGTGACAAGAATTTCAAATATCATCCATGGCCAAATACTGCACTTGGATTTCCTGGAATTAACGTTGTGAAAAGGAATGTTTCTGTGCTCCAAGAGAAGCGCCTCCAATGCAGTGAGATGCACTGAAAAAAAATAAGGTGAGAATCCCAGGAGTTGACATAAGGATGTGATAAAACTTTCAGATTTTATGGAAAGAAGCATTTTTCAGTTTCCCCTTAATAAATGAAAACCATGCATGCACAGTGTGAAGAAACATATTCTGCCTAAGCATGTAAAATATGTCAGCTTGAACATTTTACTGTTTATTGAAAAATGTTTTTCAAGATAGTTTATATTATGTTTGCAGGAGAAAAATAAAACTCTTTTATTTTCTCACCATTACAGTCCTATCCCATTACCATTTTTTTCCTAGCTGTAAAAAAAACCCAGCATTGGGATATTTATGCTCGGTGAATTAGGAGTATTTTTTTACTGGCCATCAAAATTTTAGTGGCATTAGCTCTATTTGTAACAGGTTTTCATTAAAATGAAAATGTGGGAAGCAATAAAATGAATATGGACCCTCATCAGTATCAGCGAGGCTTTATGGTGGTCTTGGGACCAGTTGTGTTATATTTGTTACACATCATCATCAGACAACAGGACAAACCTCTTTTTTTCACTGACATTGAAACAAATTTTGCTGTTGTATGGATTGTATGGACTTAATATGTAGCATATTTAAATAATTCTTTAGCTTTCATTTGATTGAATCTGGTGTTTCCTGCCTTGGGCAGGTCCCACTTGGTGCAGGTGTAAATGTAAACTGAGACTAAGGAGTTCCAATCTGTCTGAGAATTAATTTATCCCTTGGTTAACACCTGAGGAAAGGTTGGCAACAGCATTTTCTTCATGAATGGAAAATATGCTCCCTTAGCCTCCCTCAAAACGGACACAAATACCACAGTTCGACTTCCAGATTTGAACCTTGAGGCCCAGGAAGGATAAAATGTAGCAATAGCTCATTTCTTAACTAATTACAGCTATCTGCAGGTGTCAATTAACATCAGCATGTTGCTCTGTATCCCCTGCTCACACCCCCAAAGCCACCACAGTTCCAGGGCAGTGATTCCTGATTATCAGTAATCTAAGTGAAAAGTCAATCAGCCTCCCTGATTTACAGATTGTTACATTAACAGCCTTAAAAGTCTCTAAACCATCTAATGCCTGAGCAGCTTCTACACCTTTTGCTGCACAAAAAATAATTCACCTGTTGCATAAAACTGTGAAACATTAAGTGTTGGAAATAAATATTATTGCTGCACCGCTTTTCCATTCCACTTAGGCTTGTGTGGAAAAGCAAAGGTGACTATAGGCACAGAGCAAGCACATCCATTATTTCAGCTAATTCACTTTGATTTCCCTTACAAAAATAAACCTGTGAAATCAAAGAGCTCACTTGTAAGTAGTCTTTGGTAAGGCTCTAATCATTTCTCCATTAGTGCAGGATAAAGATGATGAGCCACGACTTCGAAAACCTTTTGATCTCCTCACTCCCAGGCAGGATGAATGAAGGTGCAGGAGTTTGCTCTGTCTCAGTGGCCTTTGGATTCTGCAGGAGAGGGGCAATGAAATTTAGATTAGTTTGAACATGCAGAGGATGATCTGGGAAGCTAATCCCAAAGATCGACAAGGGAAAGGCACATGAAAAGAGGAGTAGACTCCTTCAGGTGTTTGAGAGAGTACTTGATCTCAAAACCTGACAGTAAAGAGAGCTGTTGCAGAAACTGGCCCTCTGCCATCCTAACAAAAGAAGAGAAGATGAGAGATAAAAGATTCAACCCTGGACCAATTTTAATCCTTAAATTTGTGGTATGGGGCTTCCCCTTTGGCTGAGGGCTAATCCTCCAAATAACAGCCAGCCAGACATTTCACCTCTCCTTATTTCCCTAAAGTGTTACCCTTCTGCTTTTGTTGACTTTTACACAGTTTATTTTCTATTTCCTATAGCCTTTTTAAAAAATTTTGTTTTTAAGTCACGGTCCTGGATCTCTCCAAGATTTACAAGGGTTTTGTACGAGATTTTGGATTTAGGTCTCGAAATCATAAAGTTTATAATTTTTACAGCCCAGGAATGATCTGCTCCAAAGGTCTGCTCAACATCCCATGATTTGCGTTAGAAAGGACCTTCAAGACCATCTTGTTCCACCCCCTGGCATGGGCAGGGACACCTTCCACTATCCCAGGTTGCTCCAGGCCCCGTCCAACCTGGCCTTGGACACTTCCAGGGATGGGGCAGCCACAGCTTCTCTGGGCAATCTCTGCCAGGGCCTCACCACCCTCACAGGGAATAATTCCTTCCCAATATCCCATCCAACCCTGCCCTCTTGCAGTGGGAAGCCATTCCCCCTTGTCCTGTCCCTCCACCCCTTGTCCCCAGTCCCTCTCCAGCTCTCCTGGAGCCCCTTTAGGCCCTGGAAGGGGCTCTCAGGTCTCTCTGGAGCCTCCTCGTCTCCAGCTGAACACCCTCAGCTCTCCCAGCCAGAGCAGAGGGGCTCCAGCCCTTGGAGCATCCCCGTGGCCTCCTCTGGTCTCGCTCCAGCATCTCCACATCCTTCTTGTGGGCCCCCAGAGCTGAAGGCAGCTCTGCAGGTGTGGTCTCACCTGAGAGGGGAAGAATTCCCCCCTCCCGGCTGCCCAGCCTGTGGGATCAGCCCCAGGACACGGGAGAGTTTCTCACCCACCAGCTCCCCTAAGCCCTTCTCCCCGGGCCGCTCCATCAGCTCATCCCCGGCTGGGATCGATACAGGGCGTTGTCCCGACCCAGGTGGCGCAGCACCAACACCTGGAACTTGTTAAACCTCACGACGTTCTTGACAGACCCACTTCCCGAACCCGCCCAGGTCCCCAAACGCAGAGCCCTCCACGACCGCTGAACATTCACACAAAACCCCGTTTTCTCTCTCTCCGCACCGCCGGGAAGGAACCCTTTTAGCGCAGGCACAGAAACTTCCCGTCGGAGCAGCACCAGGTGCGACTGGGACACAATCAGGGAGGCACCTCCCCGTCCCGCTGCCCTTTGTGCGGGAGCCGGGCGGCTTTTGCCGTCGGTGGGAGCCGCGGGGCCGGTTCCGGAGCGTCTCCCCCCGGGAAGAGCTCCCGCACCCCCGGGGCGCGGGCGGGATGCGGAGGGCGGGCGGCCCGGAGGGAAGGGGCGGCCGGCCGGGCCCCGGCTCCGCCCGCACCACATGATCCGAGAAACTTTTCCCGTCCCGCGGTTGGAAAATGGCGGCGTAGGGAGCGGGGGGCTCTCGCATCCCGGCGCCGGCGGCTCCCAGCGCCATGACCCGCTGGGTGCCCACCAAAAGGGAGGAGAAGTACGGCGTAGGTGAGGACACACCGCCCCCAGCCCGCCTGCTGCCCCCCAGGGGGGAACCCCCGGCCCGGGCCTCCCCCCATCCCATCCCATCTCATCCCCATCCCTGCCCGGCTCCCCCGCTCCGCTCCCCTGGAAGGGGCAGGGATGGATCCTCCCCTCCGGGGCCGGGATGGAGCGCGGTGACCCCCGTGTTCCCGGTATTCCCGGGACTCCCCGGCGGGCTCCGTGCGGACCCCCCGCCTGCCGGGACTCGCTCCCAGGAACTTCAGGAGTTGTCTGGGAGCGAGCAGCGCTCTGAGCTGGAAAAGTTGCCTTTTCCCTTCGCTCCGCTCTCGCTGCCTCTTCCCGAGCGCTGCTCGCGGCAGAAAAAGGCTTTTGAGTTTTGTTCCCACATCGGTTTCTTTCCCCACCTCGCTGGTGGGAGCAGGGCAGGATTGCGCTTCCCAAGCGGGATCCTGGGTGGCCGCCGGGAGCCCACCCTGTGCCCTGTCCCTCCTTTTGGAGGTTTTTGAGGCTGCCGGGGACAGTCTGGCTCTGCGGGGAGTGTGATGTTCATACAGATGAGGGGGTTTCCCTGCTCGGTGCTCTCCGCGGATCCATTTCGTTCTCCGCTCCTTCCCGTCCCTCCCAAACAAGGGGGGGATTGTTCCCAGCTGGTGGTTAAAACATCTCCGCTCTAATTAAACAGCACCAAAGCCTCCTGGGTTTGGGCAGGGCTGTGCCAAGAGGGCCCATCTTGAGTTTAAAGACGTTTGATTCTGAGCAAAAGACCTTCTTTTTATTATTTATTTTTTTTAGGGATTGTGGGGAAGAAAACTTAAGTGGCATGAATGAGCGTTTGTCTCGGGGAAGGAAATAATAAATCTGACTGTTCAAGTTGGAGAGACGAAATTCCATGTCCACCACAGTTCTTGGACTGGATTGATTGCAAAGAAAAACTTTTCGTATAAACCTACGGATAAGACTTGTATAAACAAAGAGAGCAGGAAAAAAAGGAGTTTCTGGGTCTAAGGAGAGCCCAAGTGTATTATAGGAATGAATTTTAAATTCTGTGTGTATGTCCCGAAAAAACAGGGCGCAGCTTTTAAATTATTATCAAACCCCAGTTATGCTGTGTGAGACCCAGGAGTAATTTCAGTGCTGAGGATGCAGGACACCTGTGGTGGAAGCAAAAGTGCTTGCTGATGGCAGTCGCTCGTTAGGTTCCCAAATTGCCTCCTCGTGGTGTGGGATGGGTGTTTGGGAAAGACTGCGAGTGATAAATTGTCACGTAGTAGAAGTTGTCACACACCAGTGACACTCGAAAGCAAGTTCCTCTTCTGCAGGAACTCATGTCTGCTGCTCTGGTGGTGGCCACTGCCTGGACCTGGCTTTCCAGGAATCCGTGTCTTGGGAGTGACTTTGAAAGGATGAAAGAGAAAGAAGTGTGGAATAAACTGAGTATTTTAAAACATACCTTAGGTAAATTTGGATCTCCAGTGTTAGAGATTGTGTAGTAAGAGAATGAGACTTAAATGTAGTTTAAGAATAAAAAAACCCCAGGTTTCCCAGTTTGAAAAAACACAAGACAATGTGCTCAGCTTATTTGGTGCTTAGTTGGTATGTTTTGTTTGTGTCCAGAGAAGTTTGTCATGGGTTTGTAATAGGTTTGTTTTTCCTTGATAGTTTGTTTTCTTTTTCCTGTAAATAAACTGAAAGGGACTATCATCCCCAAACTGGGGTATTTCTCTGCTGAATCACAGGGGTGTGAGAGTTGAAAGTAGCACTGCAAGGAGATAAAATTGGATTTAGAGTTAATTGAACCCTGCAATTCACTGGCCTGTGCTGTGGTGTTTTGGGAGGGATGGCTTCCTTTTGGTGTTGCTGGGCTTCCTCCTGAGGAGGATGAATATTCAGTTTGGTTTTAAGTGTTTATATATGTTTCTGTTCTTAAAAAAAGGGCACCTGTGCACACTGGGAGTCTTCTGATGTTTTGTATTTTTTGCTGCTCGTGAAATTGGAGGCTGTGGAGAATTGATGCAACGGCTACACAGTCCCAAACAGAATTGGAGAAGGCACTGTTGAGCCTAAAGCTCTAACATAAGAATGTTTTTCTTGCTATTTGCCCTGACCAATCCTGGAGACTGATGTTGACTCCGTATTGTCTGATAGTGAAACAGAAACATCTTCGTGTTCCCAAAGGGGATTGTTGACCGAACTGTCATCTTGGTGATACGTAATGTATTTTGTGTGGATCTCATCAATACCTATAAATACCTCCAAGGGGTGTCAGAGGATGGTGTCAGACTCCCTGGTGGTGCCCAGTGATGGGATGAGGAGCAATGGCCACAAACTAAAACAAAAGAAGTCCCACCTAATATGAGGAAGAACATTGCAAACCCACCTGGATATGCTCCGGTGTCACCTGCTCTGGGTGACCCTGCCTTGGCAGGGGGGTTGGACTGGATGATCTGCAGAGGTCCCTTCCAACCCCAGCTGCTCTGGCATTCTGTGTGCATCATTCCCTAAAGCAGAGACACCAGGAAGGAGTGTTTGGTCCTGATTGTTACTTATGTCACAATCGTGGGAGCTCAGAAATGTGGGCACATGTAGAGAGATGTTTATATTTAAAGAGATGTTTATATCTGAGTGTTTATATATAAAGAGGTGTTTATATATGAAATATACATGTTTATGTAATACATATATATATATATATACTTCCCCCCCTCCTCTTGGCTGGTTATTTCTGTGTACCACTGAGGTTTTTTTTGCATATCCAAACCCGAAGATTTGCTGACTGGAATAAATGAAGGCACCAATCAATCTGTGCTGAGAGGGTGGCAGGACACAGGTGTGTTAAGGAAGGCTCCTCATGCCCAGCCCTTTGCCCTGGCACAGGGGGGTCTGTGGTGCTGCTGGATTTCCTGCACTCTCATCAAGTGAATTTGGTGTTGTGCAGAGCCATTATCTCAGCAGGCACTTGTGAGCGTGACTCAGCTCCGCTTCCTGACGGAGTTCAGGGGAGGCTGCACGAGGTCTGGGTGTGGGTATAATGGGATAATATGGTTATTAGATTAACATATGGGGAGCCCTGCGAAACAGGAAAGCCATCAGCTTAATTGGAGAAGCTTTTCCCCGCTCCTGATGCTGCGTGTCCTTCTCCTTCCTCTCAATCCTGCCTTTCATCTCCCTCTCTGAGCCGGGGGGAGGCTTGTGGTCGTGTTGAGATGGCCCTGTGGGTGTATGGCTTCCTTGGAGGGGACATCAGAGGCTGTCAGAGTCCCAGGACTTCTCGTGTCTGCTGTGTCCCCTCGGTAGCACCAGTGACTCTGGAGTGTGGCTGCTTAGTCTCCCGTTTCCTGCTTTTAGTGTGATGTGAAAATTGCAGTTTTGGTGTTCTTCCTTAATGAGACGTAATGAGCTGCTTTGGCAACTCTGTGAGCCTGGAGAGAGCTCCTGAGACAGCATAAAGTGGTGGCAGTAGCTTCCAGATCCTCAGGACTTCTGCTGCTGTTGGACCCTTTGCCTTTGGGCTGAGAACTGCGGTGAGAGGTGGAACTGGTGCCACTGTGGTGTTGCTACAAATACTGTATTTAAAATGCCTTTGTGTGCAAAGGTTTGTGCCTGTATGGGGGAATTAGACCACTACTATGATAGGCTAATCCCTTTTTTAACTCCTTTCTAAAAAATGAATGAAGTAGGAAAATAGTGCCCTTGGATGGTCAGATGTAGAAGAAGTTCCCAGTTACAGGGCTTGTGAGCCCTGTTGAGATCCTGTTAATTTTCAGGATGGGGACTCTACTTTGCTACTCCAAATGAAAACATGGATAGTTGTGCCCTTGCTGTGATCAGGAAGTGTCTGCCGTGTAGGCCAAGTGCTCCTGTCCTTGGACAGCTTCATGAATCCTGTGTCCAGTTCTGTCCCTTCACTGCAAGAAAGACATTGAGGGGCTGGAGCGTGTCCAGGGAAGGGCCTGGAGCACCAGGAGCAGCTGAGGGAGCTGGGGGCACTTAGCCTGGAGAAAAGGAGGCTCAGGGGGGACCTTCTGGCTCTGCAACTCCCTGACAGGATAGGGGAGCTGGGGGGTGTTGGGCTCTGCTCCCAGGGAACGAGGGACAGGATGAGAGGAAACAGCCTCAAGCTGTGCCAGGGGAGGCTCAGGTTGGACATCAGGAGAATTTCTGCGTGGAAAGGGTGGTCAGGTGCTGGAAAGAGCTGCCCAGAGAGGTGGTGGAGTCCCCATCCCTGGAGATGTCCAAGGAGCACCTGGAATCTGGTAATGCTGGTGGAACCGTAGGAACTCCTGCAGCCCAGCACTGCTGCTTCGCTTCCCCTGCTCCAGGGAGGACTGTGGTGCTGTGGGACAGATTTAAGGCTTTTGTGGAACCCTGGAGTTATGGCTGTGGTGAGTGGTGGTGGCACGTGGAGACTCTTTTTCTATTGAGGTGACTTTGTGTCTGCAAATTTGCGCCCTAAGGTAGGGAAGAAAAAATTTCAAGGAAATTGGAAAAAGTGCATCTTAGGAATGCATTTGTGTCATTTTAGTGCTGCTGTGTTGTGAGAGACGTTTGGAGCTGCCTGGCATGACAGGACAGGTACCTTTGTGTTGTTAATGGCAGGAGGACCCTGCTCTGACACGTCCCAAACCCGCAGAGCGAAAATGAAAATGCCCATGAAAGATTTGCTGCCTTATTGATCAGTGTTTGATCAGCATTGATCGGTTATCACTCTGACTGAGCTCGTGCAGATTGAGTTTCCTAGAGACAACATACCCCATGGACACCCAGGTTAGGGCTTTATTTGTGGTATCCCTGTCCTGTGAGGAAAGGCTGGGAGAATTGGGATTGTTCAACCTGGAGAAGAGAAGCTCTGGGGTGACCTGATTGTGGCCTTCCAGGAGGAGCTGACTGGAAAGATGGAGAGGGAATTTTTACAAGGGCCTGGAGTTGTCACTCCGGGTGGATTGGCTTCAAACTGACAGTGGGTTTACATGGGATATTGGGAAGGAATTCTTGGCTGACAGGGT